GCTAAGCGTTTTGCAATTTGGCATCATTTTGAAAAGTTTACATTTCGAATTGAACAGCAGGAATAAGTTTTTCTTTCGGAGGTCTTTTAAAAAAAAAACAGTGGCTGACAGCGCTGTGCACAACGGTAAACTGGTGGGTAATAAGCAAGCGAATAATGCAGAAAATGGTGATTTTTAGATGGGAAACTGTTCTTAAAGTACACTGAGAGAGAGAGAAAGAGCTGTGCAGGAAGTGTGGATTTATTGTGGTGGAAGCAAAACAGCAAAAGTCAGACAGAATTCATGATGATGCTTATCTGAAGCGAAATGTGAAGCTTAGTTTGGATCTTCTTTTGCTGCTGGTTCAGTCAGTTTTGGTTGGAGAGTGATGAAACCTGCAGCATCAGAATCTAGCGCAAAAAAAAAGGTAAACACGACGCGCGGACCTGACGCATCAGAATGTGTGAGGTGACAGTTTTCAGCCCCGACGATGTGTCCGACCGCGTACGTGCCGTCTGGTGAGAAAGCCCACAGCTCACTGATTCTGATGCATCGGGTCCACGCTTTGTGTTTACGTCTTTTTGCGGAATCTGTTTACCTGCTCTCATTTACTGTTTTAGCTGTTTGGTGGTTGCTGAAATAGTTTTGTGAGGTTTAACCTACATTTATATTTAAAAATAGATCTTCAATAGATAGATTTTCATCGGAAAATCGATTATTGAAACCCACCCCTAGTGCACAACGTAAAATGTCCTGAACATCACACTGACTTTATGCAAGCAGCCTGGCAGGTTAAAGACCATATGAGCTCTGATCTAACTGAGATGGACACTTGCAATATGTTAGGTAACATCTCAAAAGGTTCATGACTGCAGAGCATGCTTTAAAAAGGTTACAAGGAGCGGTGGACTGGAGGGAAGGAACCATCATGGGTTTAAAATTAAATTTAACATGACACGTTTTCAGTTCTTTCAGCTGAAGCTTTATGACCTCGACTTCAGATCAGTAACACTTAATAAATAAATGCAAAGTATGTGGCTGTAAATTAAATAAATCCACGACACCTTCACTTTAGTTATGGAACAAATTTTTTTTTTTGCTGGCGGGGGGCCCCTTGTTAACCAACCTTGTTTAAAAAAATACTTAAAAACACCGGAGTCTGATTGGACAGTGCAAATCCAGACCATGTGACAAGCAGCTCAGAAGATGAAGCAAGCTTCAGTTCATGTTCATGTTGCTACCAGCAACACCAAAGCTGCTAACAGCTGACAAGCAGTTTGTGTCTGCATGTGTGTGTTTGTGCAACCTGCAGAGACTGTCCTCCTGTGAGAGATACCCAGCAGGGACATGCCAATAAAAACTCCAACAGCAGCTCAAGTAAACATACCGCCGTGACCTATTTGCGATGTTAGCTTGATAGGAAGCAAAAGGACAATTTGGTCTACAAAATCTCAGCTATTAACAGCCAATGGGGAAACTTGATCAGAAAGAGTTTCAGCCAGTGTTAGCACCATCTGCTGGCAGTGATCCACAGTGTGGTAGTTTTGATTAACCAGATCATTGAGGGTTAATGAGAAAAAATATAAAACAGTGGGGTTCCTTTTGTTTGTTTTGTTTTTTTTGCAGACCTTAGACAAAACCTGATTTCATCTAAAGGTATCAGCCAACACCAAGGCATCAACTGAAATAGCTGCCTGGGCCATATTGCTGCACACGAAGGGGTATAAAGGCCTGTTAGGCTAAAATGCAACAACTATGCCTGCATCTCTTGGAAGAGTTACAACACCAATGAGTATCCGTCTGCAGCTGTCTGGGTCCAATAGGGCTGAGCCATACTGAATCAGCCCTAATAACATCGGTTTAAATTTTGAAGTTAGATAAAAGTGTCATAGCATGACATCATAGCAAGACCACGTGTTTATTTTTCCTAGTGCACAACGAGATGAGCCCAGGGATCTCTGAGAGCGAGAGCCACGTGTCAGCATCCACTTACAATTCAGTGCTTACCTCAACCTCCAACAAAG